AGTTCAGTGATGGTGAACCTTTTAGAGACCGAGTGCCCAAACTGCAACCCGAAACCCACTTATGCATCGTCGGGTGCCGGGTGGGTGTGGTCCATTGGCTGGGTGTGGCCCATTGGGTGGGTGTGGCCCATTGGGTGGGTGTGGCTGCAGTGGTAATGGCAGACTGGGTGGGACTAAAAAGTTCAATCAATCAATTCCAACTTTGCAAGATCTTTTTTTTCCCCGCAAGAAGTTGAAATTGACTGATTGATTGAACCTTTTTTTTTTTTTTGCACACAGCAGCGGAGGCCTAAAGCGAAAAGGTTTTATAAAACCCAGCTGAAGGCCTAGGACTGGGGCGATGGTGCGCGTGCCCACAGAGAGGACTCTGAGTGCTGCCTCTGGCATCCGTGCCATAGGTTTGCCACCACTGGTCTAGTTTAATGAAGAGAAGGACGAGGGGAGACATGATAGCAGCGTTCCGATATCTCAGGGGCTGCCACAAAGAGGGCGTCAAGCTATTCTCCAAAACACCTGAAAGCAGGACAAGAAGCAATGGATGGAAATAACCAAAGAGAGAAGCAATCTAGAACTAAGGAGAAATTTTCTGACATTTAGAACAATTAATCAGTGAAACAACCTGCCTCCAGAAGCTGTGAATATTCCAATACTGGAAATTTTAAAAAGAGACTGGACAACCATTTGTCTGAAATGGTATAGGATTTCCTGCCTGAGCAGGGGGTTGGACTATATGATCTTGAAAGTCCCTTCCTCCTCCTCCTACTCCTCCTCCTACTACTACTACTACTACTATACTACTACTACTACTACTACTACTTATTATTATTATTATTATTATTATTATTATTATTATTATTATTATTATTTATATCTGACAGCCATATGTGAAATACTATCAAGGTGCAATCATTAGGTGTTCTGTACTAAATGCATTTTTAGAAATGGTCATTGTATTGATTTAATTAAGGAAAGAAACACATTTTCTCCCTTTTAGAGGATCAGTGCAATTCTATTAAGCAGTGGCTTTAAAACATCCTAGCTTAATGGAATATTTGGAATATTGCATCCTAGCTTAAAGGAATATTTCCTAACAATTCAACTGCTAAAGAAATAGTAAGAAATTCTGCACATGGGTCATGATCTCAGGAGTGCACATGTAAGCGACAAAGGTATTCCAGCAGACTCTGTATTCCCAATACAAGGCAGGCAAACTAGCTCTCAGAGGAAAACTGAATTCTCCTGTTGGGAATGACTCAGTCTTTGATCATTTCAAGCTTAAACTATTGCAGCATGCTCTGCCTGGGGATGCCTTTGAAGGCTGCATAGAAACTTCAGTTGGTATAAAATGTAGCTGCCCACTTCCTGGTGAGTAAGAACCACTTTAATGATATAACACTTTTATGGATGCTTCATCACTTGCTAAATGATGGTACACTCAAATTTAATGTGCTAGTATTTATATATAAAGCCCTATTTAGAAATAATGTGGTGTTTGAATGGCCTTTTGTTGACTTTTCCAGGGACATGGTTTAAATTTATTATAAAGGTTTTAACTGGCATATTTTGAATTTTAGGGGATTATGTGTTTCATGCAGTGTAAACTGAGTTTTGAGATTAGGCAGTATATAAATTTCTGTAATAAACTTGTAAGAATTGCAGTTTAATGAGATATTCTGAAATCATAAAGATAAATTCTCAGTTACATTAAGTCTCATCAGATTAAGGTGTCCTTTGATTAGCAATCTGAAATGAATCTTTTTTACATTTCCTTTCATTTGTTTCTTCATGTGTTTTGTAAAAAAATTATTTAAATCGTGATGATACTATCTCTAATTCAGACATGTCAAACTCATGATGTCGCGCGATGTATTGGGACTGTTTTGCCATTGCCGGCAATGGGGTGGATGCGGCTTCCGCGTGATGCATCTGGCCCACGGGCCGGCAGTTTGACACCCCTGCTCTAATTGGTTAATTTTAGGTATGCACTCAAATGACCCTTTGGGCAACGTTGACAACAGTGAATTATATATTAAAATTGATATATTAAAATTCTGTCTCAAATTTAGCTCTTTGTGAATTTCTTCAAATTTGCAGTTAGATATTTAAGAATGCCAGTACATTCAGGAGTGTTGAAGAAAGTGCTGTAACATCTGCCTTTAGGAAGAGATTTACTGGTTTGAGAAAAATATATTTTTAATTGATGGCAAAATTTGTTTTGCTGCATGAAAGTAGAGGGTATTTTACTATCGCTATGTCTGGATTTTATAGTTTTCCCACCTCTTTAACTTTTTGGCATTCTATAACAGGGCCGTGGCCTATTCGCGACTAGGCCACGCGAGTGGTGGGCCTGTGCGCATACACACACGGGTGCAGCTCAACTTGCGCAAGTCAAGCTGCGCTTGCTTGCACGCCACCCACCACTCGCATGGCCCGATTCTCCTCTCCCCCCCCCACTGGGCCACCAAGCTGCAAAAATTGGGGACTGCTGTTCTTTAAGATAGGAAGCTTTTTTAAAAAAATAAAGAGTATTTTTCACACTTGGGAAGTTAACTCAACAGATCTTTAGGGACTAAATCTGTACTTATTTTCTATTATATAATATTGACACTGCTATGTACAGCTGTCTGACATATTTTAAATTCAAAATATGCTGCTTCAACCTAACAAGTATTCCAATACTGTGCAATCTTAGTAGAAGTATTTCAAACTCAAATGTAGAATTGGATGTGACAAAGTGCTTCTGATAAATTTGGGAGAAGGTATGTCAAGCTTGAAATATTTTGCACAACTGTGCTATTCCATGGTTTTCTTTTTTTGGCTGGATTAAAATAGTAATATATTCATGTCTATTAGGTTTTCATTTATTGATTTTGCAAATAGCTGTATTTTAACAAAATAATGGTGACTGTTAAGACAGACTGCACATGACATGAATGACTTTAATAAAATGCAAACCTGCATTTAAAAGCATACAAATTACAGTTTATGGTGGAAGGGCAAAATTGCCAGAAGAGTAAAAAAACAAGAACCAGACTATGTAGATATGGACTTGATTGATTCTGTTCACTTACTAACAAGTTCTCTAGGTGAATTGCTCATCTACAGCACCCATAAGCTGCGAACTATAAAAATAAGTAGCATAATACAAAAAATATTAAAATCTTAATTGGCCCATTATTCAAACATCTTAAAATTTTGAAATCTGGGAATGTCCTACTCAGTAAAAACATAGCATTATGGGAGGCCGTCTTGAGAGAATATTCTGTAAGTGTTGGATATTCCAAACCTCTGCCTGCCTCTGGAATACATACGTCACAGGGTTTTTTTCAATGTAGATTTATTTTCTACATGGAGAAGGAAATGCAGACAATTTGATACTAAATAGACTTTGTTGATTGCCCATGATTCTACCATAGTTTTTCTTACTAGTCAAGAATGTGTTCTAAAAAGGGGTGTTTTCTAATAAAGAGTCACTTTTCAGAATGAGATCGGTGTTCTATAAATTTAATAAATAAATATAAAATTAGGCAACATCCAGTTCCAGCATTCTGTTTCTTCTCCCCATTCCCGAACACAAACGATCACGCACAATGCTTAGGCAGTTCTCAACTTACAGCCACAATTGGTTCTGGAATTTCTGTCATAAGTCGTCATGTTCTTAAGTCATCCCATGACCAGACTTGATTTTATGGCCATTTTTGCCATAGTGGAAGTTGAGTCACACAGTTGTAAGGACAAATCTAGATCAACCAATGGCATTTTTGTGCCAGTTAGGTTGCATTGCATTGCCTTGCATTCTTGCATGCTTCCCATTCTACTCAAGACACACGAGCAATTCTATATCTATGGTCATGTTCTACACTACAGTTACATTAGTTTTGACAAAAATGCTCAACTGATAGAAAATGTATTTGTTGCCATTCTAGAATTTTTATTATATTCGTCATATTTTTGCTTTGCAAAAATAATTTGAGAGATTTTATTTGTCTCAGTCATCTCATTTTATTTAGTCTTTGACTGGAACCTCCATCGCTAAGCAATGTGGTTGTTAAGTCATCATGTGACCATGCCCAATTTTATGACCTTTTTGCCACAGTCGTTAAGTGTATCTGGCTGTGACTTTGCCTGTTGGAAGCTGGTTGGGAAGGCCTAGCCTGTTATATTTTGCTATTAAATTGTTAATTTCTGAATAAAGCTTATTGCCTTTTGTGGTACTGGTTTACACACTTTCTTTTTAATTCTGGGTGGCATCCCACCTTATTCTTACTGATGTTTATTTTGTATAATTTTCTTGGAAAATAATTTTCAAAGTTTGAATTAATTGCTGCCTTGGGGCTCCTTTTTACAATATGAATCCTGCAACAAAAAGGCATGCATTTTATTCAGATAAATATAACTCCCACTCTAGGGCAGAATGTTTATATCTTAAAACTACAGGTAGCCCTTGAGTTACAACAGCAACTGAGACTGGAATTTCTATCACTAAGTGGTTGTAAACTGTGACATCATGTACACTCATTACTTAGCAATGGCAATTCCAGCAGTTCCAGGCAGGAACTGTAGAGCACAGGCAATTCTACAGGCAGGAGAATCCTGTCGGCATGCACTGTTAAGTGCAGGCAGGTGAAAAAGCAGTGGGAGAGGAAGCAGCTTCCAACTTCCTGCTGGCTTCCCAATTGACTTTGCTTGTGGAAAGCCAGCAAGGAACATTGGAAATCATGTTCACATGATTACAGTATGTGTTTATACAATTTTCAGCCACAAGCTGCAATAGTCCATTGGTTTAGGTGGCTGTAAAATGTTGTTAGAAAAATCCATGATGCACTAAATATCAATACTAGAGCCTACAATGACTAAAATGTTGAGTCCAGCACTCCAGAACATTAGGATTATTATTCAGGAATGTTTGCAATTCGTTTTCATCAGGCATGATGGAATTCCATTAAAACTAGATAATAATCTTTCTGGCTCAGCCATATTTACAAATTTATGTCTTTCAGATATTTCATGCATGGTGTTTGCAAGGAAGGGGACAACTGCCGTTATTCCCATGACCTCTTCACTACTCACTCTGGCATGGTGTGTAGGTATTTTCAGCGAGGATGCTGTGCTTATGGAGATCGTTGCAGGTATAGAAATGCAGCTGTATGTTCTATGTTTTAACAAGGAGCAAATTCCTGATATTTATGGCTATTCATCTACAGTGGCTTTTAAAAGAAATGAACAAGTTTTAGTTCAATGAATGTGATAAAATATGGGTAAGCCTGATCATGGAAGTTGCACATTACCCATCTCATATGTTACCACCAATGCTGATGTAGTAGCAGATTACTCAGTATAGTGGGAGCAGCAGTACTACTGTACTAATAAGCAACAAATGGTTTCCCATCACTGAGAATCTTATGTAGTGTGTTATACAGATACATTTTGTATTCTACAGAAGCTTGTGCAGATACTGAGAAAAAGGACTGTTCTGTAGAATTTCAATGATAAACTGAACTTGGAAATATAATGTCAAAGTGAGACTACTGTGTTTATAATTGCCTTCTAACTGCCATTTTCTGTACAGTGCAAAACTTTTATAGAAGTCATTTAGGAAGCAGGATCACAACAAAATTAATATTTTACCCCTACGCCCTATTTCAGGCTAGCTTTGTCTAACCTGATACCTTCCATCTGGGATGCCTCTCTAAAGTCACTCTAATCCCCATCATCCACAAATGTAAACAATGCTCCGGGGTGCCAAATATGTGGAGATCAACAGGACAGAGAAAATTGACTATCTCTCAAAAGTTCACATGTCTAATTCAACAACCATATTAAAGCCCCATAAAACATTGAAATTGTTTTTGTTTTCAAATAATCGATTGGTGAACAGTCTACATGTAGAGTAATAAAGTATATATTCTTTAATGCAAATGCAGTCATTGCAAAGGGGCTCAGGAAGAATGATATACAGTACTCTTATATGCATGCAGTTTAATTTCTTCCTCCTGTTTTTATCTTGTAATGTAAAAAAATATATCAAAACACAATGCAGAAATGTACTTAAGATGAAATAATTGGAAGCAGAGAAGAAAGAATTCCTAGGGTAGAATCCAGTTACAGTAATGAGCGGAAGTCCACAAATATGATGGGAATGCAGATTCGTTTTCTCTCACTGACCTTCAAAATCTGCTTTAGAGACCTTTTAGAACAGATTTTGATTTCCCAATAATTGCTTTCTCTTACTGATCAAAAAAGTTGATAAGTGGATTATATCGTTCACATATTTTTCCCTCAAGGGCAGTTATATCTGATGGCTCTTCCAGCGGTACAGAGTGCTAGAGAAAATATTTATCTCAGTGAAGCTTAACAAGTCTCTTCAGAACACATTGTCCAGTAACTATTTAAGACCACTTCAAGTATTTTAATAGACTCTCTTTCTCATCCCCCTTCTATATAATGCATTTCTGATTCTTTGAAGCAACTTCTTTTAGCTGGAATTCACATAGCATTATTTTTGCAATTTCTGTCTTTGCTCCTTATCAGATATGAACATACCAAGCCATTGAAAAGAGAAGAAACGACTACTGTGAGTCCAGTTGCAAAAACCTATCCTTCGGCCTCAACGGATGTGACCCCATCTCCTGGAACACTTGAAGTGAGCAGCAATGAGACTGAAGACAAAGAGCTGGCAGCTGCAGGAGCTGGGGCTGAAGATTGGGTGAATGCCGTGGAGTTTATTCCTGGGCAGCCGTATTTTGGTCGTGGTAAGTTGATTCATTGTAATAGAAATAAATGTTCATTGCCAATCATGGCATCTTTTTATGTGTCTCCCTAGACTTAGTATCGAAGCAAGAGCTGTATTCATTTGAACAGTTGTTCCGCTTTGTGTTATAAGCTGCCTTATAATGAATCACACACTGATTTATGGGGTTCCTTCCCAATATTGCCACTGAGGGCAGTGCCTCCCTATGGTCCATTTAGTTGAGCACAATTGGCCAGCCATCTGTTGTGGTCTGAAGGTGCCAAACATTCTAGGGAGGCCTTTAAATTGCATATTCATTAAAGGAAGGTCCACTGAACTCAGTCACATAAAAAAAACATACCTAATATAATAACAAATGAGTGTGGGCAGCAAGAGGAAGTTATATATGGAAAATAGTACTGCAGTCTCCAGATTTTATCAGCTAGGAGACATTTGCCTTTATGTATCATTTGCCTTTCTATAGTTTAGAGTTAAACAGAGAATACAAATTTGTCCAAGAATTTATCCCTCCTTCTATTAGGAATATTTTCCTTATCCAAGTGATATGTGTTCTTTTTCTAACTGAAGTTGGTACTTTTTATGTGTGAAGTGAAAAACATTGAAGTCTCTGAGGATCACAGGGACTGGAACCATAATGCCTTTTTATCTTTAGAACCTCAGCAAACCGCCATTTCTTCTCCTCTGAGGATTAAGTGTAATCTGATACCAGCAATATCTGATAGAATGTATGGATCAAATGCAGAATTATTCATTTGTACTTCAAACTTAAAATATCAGTTCTGATGATTAGGCTTCCTTGATTCTTCCCTATGCCCAATTTTTGTAGTGCTTTGCTTAATTAAAAATCTAGCAAACACACAAGCTTGCACTTTCTGTTATTCCAAATATTTTCGTTGGTTCTAATAATTTATCACCATACAGGTGTAACTTTTGGATTTTTGGCCACATATATAGCAAAAGCAATAGCACTTAGACGTTACAGCCCTCTTTAAGTGGTTTACAGAGTCAGCATATTGCCCTCAACAATCTGGGTCCTCATTTTACCGACCTCAGAAGGATGAAAGGCTGAGCCGGTGAAAATCCAACTGCCAAACTGCTGGCAGACAGCAGAATTAGCCTGCAATACTGCATTGTAACCACTGCACCACTATGGCTCTTAAACCTAGCTGTGATTGTTTTTCACGTTATTTTAAACTTTCAGTACAGGTGGTCCTTGGTTTATAACTGTTAGCTTAATGATGGCTTGAATTCAACGAAATTGAAATCTGAAAATGTCAGTTATAACCCAGATGTGAAGTTACAACTGTCGACTAATCCCTGCAATCACGTGATTGCAATTTGGGCACTTGGAATTGGTACATTTAAAACCAGTTGCAACATCCCACGCTCATGTGATCATAATTTGTGAGGTTTTTTGCCAGTTTCTGACAAACAAAATCTGGGTAAATATACCATTGGTTGAGATGGATTTGTACTTATTGTATGTCCATGTGACTTGACTTATACCGGTGGTAAAAATGATCATCAAATTGGGTCTGAGAATTTGAAATTCCAATCCCAATTATCTTGGAAGGCTGAGGACTATGTGTTTTACATTTATGTTGTTCAGATGATTATGGTATTACAGAGATTCTAATAAGAGCACATGGCCTAAATTGTTCAGCTTGCTTCTTATGACTAAGCTTTTTGTTTTTGGTGTGCAGATCTTGTTGAATGGCCTTTGTTCAAGTAATTTCTTTAGTCCGGTCAAGCTGTTGATTAATAACTCTCTTTATTGCCCTGTATATAACTTCCAGTTGTCAGCACTTCTCTAATAATATGTTTACTTCTCTAATGACATGTTTAGGGAGGAACACAGCCATAATTTGTTACATATTACTACTCAAGTCCTGGACACAACCAAATAACACAAACATGCATGTTGTGAACTAAATCATTCCTATAGTTTTATACTTGCTACACTTGCTATTAAAACTGCTATGATGGAACCCAATTTACCCAGATTTCTTAACATTCTCCTGAATATGAGAAATGATTCAGAAAAATCAGCAATGTGAAGCAGCTGCCATTATTTTAGGTGTCCTGCCATATGAGCAGGGTTCACTATTAAGCTGATAATGTGTTAACTAGGGAAAAGACAACTGAAATGCTTCCTTCTCTGGCTTTCCACTACCAGATACCAAAATCCAAACATCATGCGCTGTTTATAATAATTGAAACTAGTAATAATTGTCAATACGTATCTCCCCCAAGATTGTCCTTCATCTAGTAGTTGGCTAAATATTTAAAAGGTGATTCTACATGTCAGTCTGTACGAATGTAAAATCTGCACATTAGCATATCTCCATGCTTTTCACATGCAGTACAGTATGTATCTTCTTAAATGTTTCACTTGGAATGGACCGCTGAACTAAATAAGTATGTTTTCATGTCCTTTATGTTTTTGAAATACATTAAAAAGATGTTTCATGTTGTTTCAAATAACGCTTAAGATGGCATATTTTTGTGTGGAAAACAAGGAAGCGTGATAGAGGGCTAACCTGTAGCTATTTTCCTTAAAATAATTTGTATGATTACATTTTTTAAAAAAAGGCTACTCAGGCTCTACCATTCAAGAATCAAATACTCTGTGTCTTCATTCTGATTGCTCCAGCTGCTCCTTCCTGCACTGAAACTCCCCTGCAGGGAATGGTAATTGAAGAGGAATATGAAAAACAGCAAACCAGCTTAGAGATGAAGAAACAACTATGTCCCTATGCTGCAGTAGGAGAATGCCGTTATGGAGAAAACTGCGTATATATTCATGGGGATATTTGCGACATGTGCGGCTTGCAAGTCCTCCATCCCGCTGATGCTGCACAGAGATCATTACACATAAAGGTAAGTGGGGAAAATAAGTGAAATACCTAGTTGGCTAACAAAAACCGTAGAAACATTTGAATTATTGCAAAAGGTTTCTCAGGTCCAGAGAAGAGCAGAAAAATGATGAGGGGGGATGGAGGCTAAAGCGTACTAAGAACGGTTAAAGGAATTGCGTACATCTAGTCTAATGAAAAGAAGGACGTGTGGGAACATGATAGCACTGTTGCAATATTTGAGAGGCTTCTACAAAAACAAGGGAGTCAAACTATTTTCCAAAGCACCAAAAGAACAAGAAACAATGGATGGAAAATAACCAAGGAGAAAAGCAACCTAGAACTAAGGAGAAATTTCCTAACAGTGAGAGCTATCAGCTAATGGAATAGCTTACCTTTAGAAGTGGTGGGTGCTCCATCACCTGAAGGTTTTCAAAAAGAGATTGGACAACCATTTGTCTGAAATGGTACAGGGTCTCCTGCTCGAGCAAGGAGTTGGACTAGAAGACCTCCAAAGTCCATTCCAAATCTGTTATTCTATGTTTTATTCTATGTTCTAAATCTTTCTTATCATAGGTCCAAGTAAGTGACTGATGGCCTGGGTATGCTGCTATGCAGAGTTTGGGCAGAATGCTTTAGTGTTAACTGGGGCCAGCACAAAGAAAACTAAAGCAGGGTGATACTGCTCTGTGCCTTGAAAAGGTGTCCCTTCCCCAATCCAATCGAATCCAATATGCTGTAATGTGAATTGGATCTAATCTGACATTGGGTTGTTCTACAGCAAGTTGTTTTATAGTAAGAGGGCTATTGCAAAATAAGTCAACGCCAAGTCTCCATCCCCTCCCTTCCCCCAGAGCATCTCCTCTTAGTTGGACCAAATAGATAGGGAAATTCTACCTGCAGAAAACAGTTCCAAAGGTAATAAAGAGACTAAGACATAATAACTAGCACTCTGGAATCGGATCTGGAAACCTACTGGCACCTAGTACTGTCTCCCTGAAGGATAGGGATCATTCGACTAAACTTGCTAATGCAGATTAGCAAATGGACAGCCAGTGGCAGTTTATGGATCGTCCTCAACAAGAACCCCATGTAAAGCAAACTGTTCTGTTATCAGTGCATTCTGATTTAGGTAAGATCATACCTGGAAGGTCAGACAAAGCTGATCAAAGGCTCTTCTGGTCATAACAATAGCAATAGCATTTAGACTTATATGCTGCTTCATAGTGCTTTACAGCCTTTTCTAAGCGGTTTACAGAATCAGCAGATTGCCCCCAGCAATCTGGGTCCTTATTTTACCGACCTTGGAAGGATGGAAGGCTGAGTCAACCTTGAGCCGGTCAGGATCGAACTCCTGGCAATCAGCAGAATTAGCTTGCAATGCTGCTGTCATGTGTCTGATTAACGAAACACTTAAAAGGACTTNGGCTTCTCTTCCGTTACGCATATACATTCTAAGCATTTCCCACTCCCTTATTTTGGGGTCATGGTTCACATCTTCCAATCAACTTGGAAGATGTGATTTACTTCCGGTTTCTTTCTCCCGGGCTATCCTTATTCTCCTCCCTCTTTCCCAGTTGCTGGTTTAACTATATAAATACCAGACAGTTCTGCATATTGTCAAAACGAGAATATACAGTATTTGCAGCGTTGACAGCTGCATTCTAACCACTGCACCATCACTGCTCATAGCAGCCACCTGCTACAATAGTAGAAGTGATTGGTCCAAGAACACTCCCAGATCGTGTGCCTGCTCTTTTGGGGAATACACCCTGTCAAGAACAATATCCATGGATCCCAAATGTTTCTGTACTTGTAGTATCTCTGTCTCCCAGGATTCAGTCCTAGTCTGTTCATAGACTGGGGTAAGTTTGAGTACCATCAGTATATTGACGATATGGAACCACAAACCAATGGATTGTGTTTCCCAATAACTTTAGATAAATATTAAGAAAGATGGGGGAGAAGGACAGCTCTAGGTGTCCTGCAGTGAAATGCCAAAGGCTTGATCTGTCTTTTTTGGGAAAGGAGAATTGCTGCCAAACTATGCTCCTAGTTGCCAATCCTCAGAGAAGATCCAGAAGGATGCTATGGTCAATGAGATTAAATGCCACTAAGAGGTCCAATAGGACCAAGAAAAAAGCACCCTTTAGGTCTGTGGCAGAGCAGTTAAAGTTGCTTCTGTGCTGCATGCAGGCCTGAGTCCAACTGAAAGGTTTCCAGATGATAAACCATCTGATCCAGAATATCCAAGCAGCAAGATGGTTTCTGCATTTGATAATTCTTGTTTTCCTAATTGTTCCTTTGAGGAGGTGAGATAAACTACTTGGTGGTATTTTGCTTTCTAAGATAGATTCTTAGAAAATAGAATATTTTCATAACCTGCCATCTGTATGGGATATATAAGGCTATGTTTCCCCTTTGAAATACATTGAAGCAATAATTGGGAAAATGTGTATTTTAAGTTAACTACAGACTTTAAAATATGCGAAACCCTTTACAAGTGACAGTGTATATCATTACTGCATTTTAAATTTTAGTGAGAAACTTATATAAAGTGAATTTCAATGATAATAGGAAGGACCAAATTTAAAAATAAAAATAAATTGAAGAACTACAGATAAAGCATATCAAGAATAAATGCTTGAGAAATGATATGATTTTGAATATCCTTCTGAAATGTGGTAATAGTTCATTTTACCCAGCTTCTAGATTTTATCCAGTTTCTCCTTAACCATATCATCACATTATTATGATCAGTAAATGTTAAATGTGATTCTCCAGTACAGGTTAATTCATATATTTTTAAAAAAAATAGTTTAGACCTAAAGCGATGAAATATATGATTATACCTTTTATAGAACTGGGCTGCAAATGAAAACAAAGTGAGTTTCAGAGATTTATATTAAAGTCAATCACTATCCTCAACCTTATGATATGGAAGACACAACACAAAAGAAAGATACAATATTCTTGTATCCAGGATACATATTTTCAGCTTAATCACAGCAATTAGGTGGTTCTGTGTCATTTCCATTGATTTGGAGGGATAAAGGAATAAATATGAATATGAGATAGTTTGGCTACCTGTTGCCATTTTTCACATTTACAATTGTGAAAACTAAATTGTGAATAGCTATGTGAGGGGATTGTTATGTTACATGCATTTTATATATTACCAGTCACGTTTCTACTGAAAAATAAGCAACTTATAGTAAAACTGTATTTTATTTCAGTATTTTAGTTCTTCAGGAGAACTAAAAAAAAATCTAAAAACCTAAAAAAAACCCCAAAGATAAGGTGCTTTGGATTCTCACTCTTTCCATGCCCAGGGCACTTTATAATCTGAAATACCTAAGGAAAAATGACTTTTGAAGTTGCATTGTAGAAGTTCTAGACCTCTCAAATGCTTTCGTGATGATTTTTCTCCAAATTTGACTTTATGATCAGATAGTGTCAGTTTCTTCTCCTTTCCTTCACAGTCTTGCATCGAAGCTCATGAGAAGGACATGGAGCTCTCCTTTGCAGTTCAGCGTAGTAAAGACATGGTGTGTGGAATCTGCATGGAGGTGGTATATGAAAAAGCCAATCCCAGCGAGCGTCGATTTGGGATTCTATCCAACTGCAATCATACTTACTGTCTCAAGTGCATTCGCAAGTGGAGGAGTGCTAAACAATTTGAGAGCAAGATCATAAAGTGAGGCACTTCCCCATGTCCGTTGTGCTTTGTTTCTTGGGGAGAATTAGTATTTTGTGTGAACTGGCAACTTCGTCCCTCTTTCATCCCAAGACTGCATTTAATACATAAGTAATGTTATCACTCAGCATTGAGGGTTTTTTGGATCAATTTTCTGACCTCAGTACTCTTGACTGGTCAGCATGGTCCACTGAGTTTGAATGTTAAGTCATACTTTTTTGTTGTTGTTAAATGGAAGCAACCTGCTGTTCTGTTGGTTGCTGTACAAAATCACTTGGGTTCAAATGGTGCAAGAGACAGAAACTCCAAACATGTGTTTCTTAAGTCTTTTCTCGTTCATTACTGAGCCAGTGGCCCATTCCTTTTTAAAATCTGCTTGGAAAAACCAAACCAAACCAAACCAATATGGACATCCAAGAAAACTAAGTTACAAAAATAAATTTATTTATATCTAAAGAAAAATGAGTCTGTGTGTGAAATGTTTTTCCCCTTCATGTTCTTTGAAAACCTCAATAAATGCCTTGGGTTGGGGGTTTGGGGTGGGGGGAGTTTTAAATTGTTTTAAGAAATGCAATAGACTGGACAGACATACGATAGACTGCTTGTAAAGGTGGTTGTATGTCTGTACTGGGAATGGCGCCCCTGTCATGTAGAATTTTGCAGTGCAGTCTGTTCGTTTCCCAGGTCCTGCCCAGAATGTCGGATCACATCTAACTTTGTCATTCCAAGTGAGTACTGGGTGGAGGAGAAGGAAGAGAAGCAGAAACTCATTCAGAAATACAAGGAGGCAATGAGGTATGAGCATTGCAGCCTCGAACCGAATTTGACTGCAGAGGTTAAGCGCGTACATGGAGAAAAGTATTATCTGAAGTCCTCTCATGCCTCCTTCCCACCCCACCCTATGAGATGCATCTTTAACCATGAGCAGATGCATGCTGCGTACACAAGTAACCTTTGTGCCAAATAGCCTCATGTGCTGTTCCCTTGTCCACTCGGTTACAATTTAGCCATAAATAATAGCACATTTTATTCTGGAGTGTTTCCTCTGCATGCACCTATCCATGCGCACACCTTTTCAGTATGCACATCTACATAATCCACTGTGTTAGGTATGTTAATTAATTTAACATGGTTTCTGCAACAAGCAGTCTTTCTTTTTAAAGAAAAAGTCACCTGGCTTATAAAGCAAATACAGTACTGAAATCTGATTGGCTATGCTGTGAGTAAGGGTTGCGATATTTTCCTTTCCAGCAACAAGCCATGCAGGTATTTTGATGAAGGCCGTGGGAGCTGCCCATTTGGAGGGAACTGTTTTTACAAACACGCATATCCTGATGGCCGCCGAGAGGAGCCCCAAAGGCAGAAAGTGGGAACTTCAAGTAGATACAGAGTAAGTCCCACTGCTTTGTTGATTTTTTCTTCTTCTTTGCAATAGAAAAGTAAGTTTTGAATTAGGCTTTTGAAGATAGCTGAATAAAAACTATTTTGAACTACAGGATGGGGAGGGGGCATCAAAAGAATAACTTTGTGAAGCAAAAACTTCATAACCTCTTGTGATTTTTTTTCCTGCACCCTTTTTTTGACAGTTTTTAATCATGAAGGGGTAATCAGCCTAAAGTCCGGGATCGTGTAATGGGCATGTTTATATGTAACATAGCCAAATCAGAGCAGTGCCAATACCATATTTTTATGTTGAATGAATGGCTGACTTGAAAGGCTGACTTGAAAGAATAGTTGATGATTATTGTGAAATATGCATTGATCTACATAAATGTTAGTTTAGTGCTACAGTACATAAAATAATGTATCTAGTCCCCTTTAATTATAAAATGGTGGATAACGATGTAGCTTTAATATTTTTTTTTATTTTAAGAAGGATCAAGTAGTCTTCCCTTGAATGCAGTTGTATCAAGATTAGCAAGAGAGTCTTCCCACCAACTCTAAATTAGTAAGAAAGTAAGAAGACCTGACTGTAGCCCACCCACAAGACTGCAACCTATTAGGTCTGCATTGTGGTCAGCTAAGGACTTGATGATCCCCTTCCATCATCTGTTTGGTGTTTCTTGAAACGGTTGAAAACGGATCCAAAGGTACCTCCCGTTAGGTAGATTGCAATTTGCAGGCTTGTTATAGTGTCACTGTGTTTGTCTGTTTTCAGGCTTCACCTTTGGGACAGGTACACCTTGCATGCAAGTGTGCAAAATCTCTGCCCAACCGATAAAAAAAGTTGTAAAAAATGTCAGGATCATAGTTATATTTTTGTGATCCTAATTTCTTGCATGGGTATCTGCAGAGTTTTTTCTTTGACTTTCAGACACTGATAGCGTTAGAGCGGCAATCTTGACACCCTAAATCAGGGGTCCCCAACCTTGGCAACTTTAAGACTTGTGGACTTCAACTCCCAGAATTCTGGGAGTTGAAGTCCACAAGTCTTAAAGTCGCCATGGTTGAGGACCCCTGCCCTAAATAATCCCCCTCAGTCGAAAGATACCAAGCTTTCCCAATTTTATTCAGTATTTGAGGAACAAGGAGTATTGGAGCACTAGCTGTGGGAATCATCTACACCAGAGAACTGGGTTTGTTTGGGGAATGGCGGCTCGTGTGAGGCCAATAATTCTGCTCTACTTGTAGGCTCAGCGGAGAAACCGGTTCTGGGAATTCATTGAAGAGAGGGAGAGCAGCGATCCCTTTGAGAATGATGAGGATGAGGTGGTGACCTTTGAGCTGGGTGAAATGCTTCTCATGTTGCTGGCGGCAGGAGGCGATGATGACCTAACAGACTCCGAGGATGAATGGGACTTGTTTCATGATGAGCTGGAAGACTATTATGACTTGGACCTATAGCACATCTTTGTGGTGTTTGGACTGTCTGCTCCATTTTTTTTCCCCTCCCGGGCAGCAGCTCTTTTTTCCTGTGGTGTTGTGGCAGTGCCTGTGTTTTTCTCCTAGGCAGGCCTATCGATTCCAGGCGCTGCTGTTGTAATAACTCCCCCCCCCAGCCCCCCAAATCTGTCTCCTTTTCCCTCCCCTCCAACCTGTCCCCCTTTCCAAGCCCTAGGAGTGTGTTTCTTTTTCTGTTAAACAAATGACATGAAATAAACCTTTAAAACGTTAGGGGTTTTTTTTTTTTTTTTTTGTAAAAATGAATTTAACTGTCAGACAGTTAGATTAGATTTGTTGCTTTATATCTGTGTTCCTGACAGGATTCACCCAGTTCCAGGGTTCAAATGTTTACAGGACTTCCACACTCATCTTTAAAGAGCCCAGATACAAACTTGAGAACACTGGCTGTACGGCGGGGGGATGGGCAGAGGTTGGCCAACTGCCTTGTTCCACAATAAGAGACTCTGAAAACCAATTTTCCTACTTCAGACTTCAGGCCAGCACCTATTTTCTTGGCTGGCTTTAGCTCCATTCCAATCCCCCCCTCATGTACATGTGTTCATTTGTGGTTTTGGTCTCTTGTTTACTTGCACATTTACTATTTACTACTGTGTAACCAGAACCAGGTGCGAATGTTCCGGTTTTTACTGTTTGGCATGAAAGGCAAATGTGTTTGTGTGTGAAAGGAGAACTTTCTATGTATGTATATACAAATAAAATACAGAGTTGTATCCCAAGGGCTGGGCAACTTGGTATATGTGTGTATTAAAACCCTTTTCCTCTATTCTCTCATCCCCTTCTTTACACAAACCTTTTGGTGCATGATATCTTAACATTCAACTGGATTTTGAAATGAATGTTGTGGTCTCAGCAAATTCTGTGGAAATGGTCTTTAAAACAACTAATAGAGTAGACACTTCCTTATTGACACCAGCACTCCATTCTCTTCCTAGTCATCTTTTTACTCCTATTGGGTGTATCTGAGTCACACAGGTGTAGGAATATTGTTAGCCAGAATTTGGACCAAATTATCCACTTATTGGGGTTTTTGTGTTCTCTTCATCTTTACAAAGTTGTAGAACAGTGTGATAATTAATCAGAGTTAAAACAATGAAATTCCTGTCTCTCTTAGAAGGATCCTTGTTGCTTGGCAGAGTACCTGAGTGGGCTTAATAGCTGTACAACATGCATGCTGCTACTTTATTCATAGAAAAAGCAGTCAGGCACCAGTTCTCCTAGGAAGAACTCCTGATGTCATCAAAATCTTTCTCCCTCTTTTCCTCTCCTCTCTTGAAAGGAATTTTAACTTTCATTACATTTAATGCTGCTGGGTTGTCCTTGAATTGTTCTGCTTATGTCCTTTTAGATTGCATTTCCTTTCACTTTTAAATGGAATCAAAATATGTTGCTGAAGACTGTGTTACTTTGCAGCTGCCTTTTGTAAGAAGCACTTTTCCCAAATAAAAAAGCAAAAAAAAAAAGTATGATCTCTGTATTCTTGAGATTTCATTGGGATGGGGAAAAATCCATTCAGGAAGAGAAAATGTATTTTCTGAATTTTGCACCAACGTGGATATCAGCCTCAATTTCTACTTAAACACTATAATAAATGTAGTGATATAGGGTAGTCTACCATATAAATCTCCCTGGATTATTAGATTAGTACTATTAATTTTTCCTATGGATCTTCCAAGTTGTCACTGAGACTTCAGCCTTATTAGCTCTGAAAGAATCAGATGCTTTGTTTAATGGGTGTATGTGTGCTCAGTGTAAGATTTGATCCTAGTAAACTATTAAGATGAATTGACCCAGTAATAACTAATGTGTTCCAAACCTGATTTCTTCTAGCCTTTTACCCTGCTTCTGTACCATGTTAATGTAAATAGCCATTAAAGACATTACTTCCTCATTCACCTTTCATTATTTTAGGGCCAGAACTTTCTTCTGTCTAGTTTATTCCCATAACAATACATACTTCAGCAATGATGGAAAAGTCCCTTATTTATTAGAATCTTCATTTTACCTTAAAATCATGTAAAAAGGAAAGGCTTTTAAATATATATCAGTAATAGTTATAGTTATTCAATGCTAGTTAGAGAACCAACCTTTCTCTTTAAAACAGGGCAATTCAGCAACAAACCTGGGCATGGATAATAGGAAATAAGACGTCAATAAATACATACTAAATTTTCTTATATTATAAAAATGTAAATCTGAGTATAATGAAAAGAAATTTGACTTTAAATCAAAGATTAAAGCATCAAAACTGTACAGAGGCAGGCCTTCCCCAAATCCATACCTTCCAGATGTGTTGGGACTACAAGTCCCAGAATGCCTAGCATATCTGGAGAACTGATTTAGTGATTATTTTATTTCTTCCCTCAATGCTTTTTTATCAAGTTGGCAAGCACAAAAAGCACTTAATCAAAATAGAAAACTCACAGTCTCTCTCTACTTTAAGAAATAAATTTAGAATTATTTCTTAAGAAATGCCTTGTTTGGGAATGCAAGTAAAAGGAATCACAAAGACCCCAAAAAAGAGAACTCAGTTCTTTGATTATTAATACCATGGGCAGTGAGATCAGTCTTCCCATAATCAAGTAGTAAAAAAATTACCACTAAGCTATTGCAAAACTGTACATTGACAAATGCCTTCCAGTAATTTTGAAATGTTGCTATATTGACTTACTGAAAACATACTAATAAATTATGATTAAATATTAAAAGCTACTGCTATTATTTAAAAAAGCTACAGTACAGTATACAGTTTATCATATTTATGGTAACTGAAAAATGCACTACGTTAATGCTTTTAGTTTCAGTATATTTCTGTATTCTAAGCCTTGTTTTGTGGAACCATCTCTAAGTAGTTGTTACACAGGCTGGAAAACAATGACATAACTGAAATCAACATTTCATTTCACTACAGAATATTCTCCATGAAATCTTTTAGGTATATCACTTGACCACCACAATCATTCATCGGTAATCTGTGGATTGCACAAAGTCAATCAGTTAAGGAAGCTAAAACACACACTAAACAAGATTGCCCTGTTAAACATCTATTTAAACAGACATTGTTATAGTAATCTGAGATAGAAAACTGACTAGACAGAGGCATTTCTTAGATAGGTAGCAAAGCCCTGCAGAACTTGTTTTGTACTTGTTTAGACTGCTATTTAAAAAAAAAAGATTCAGTATTTACCCGCAATAATTTGATTCAATTCCTACCAACAATTCTATCATTCCTGAACTAAACACAATATATACAGTACAAGAAACCCACCATTTTTTTCATAGCCACCAGTGAAAGCAGACAGAGACTGATAGAAGCAAATGTCTTATCAGAAGTATTCACAGACAATCTTCTCTGTATCAGCTCATGTCTGCCAAAAAAGTCCTTCATCCAGTGCTAGTTTGTGCCCATACAGCTTGTTGCTGACCAATGGAAACAAGAAATCTTCTATTTCCAAAGAACGACATTCAGCAACAATGGCATGGCATCAGGATGATACAGTGAGACTACATGGAAATTCTTGTAATGGAAGAGAGCATTGGAATATGTAGCCTTTGATCAACATGAGCAGTTGGATGTCTCAGTCTGTGAAACCAACACTGGCCTAGAGTCCAGATGAATGTTGTGTGAAGATCCATTCTCCCCATGAAGTTGTAAGGTATTCCTAGCCATCAGTTCCTTAGCCATCAAGATAAAAACCTCATCAATATTTTGGGCCTCCTTGGCTGATGTCTCCAGTACAGCCAGAAGACCATGTTTCTCTGCCAATGTGCAAGCATCTTCAAACAGGACTTGCCGTTTCTCTGATTCATCTGATTTGTTCCCTTTAAATTGGATTAAAACCATTTTTAGATTTCCAGTGGATAGATGGGGCAAATAAATGGAGCAAGGGAAAAACTATGAAGCAAACCAAGAAGCATAGCATTCTTAGGCCATCTCCTTGCTCCTCCTTCCACAATGGTCCTACGCTCCCACTTTCCTGTTGCTCAGCACCCTGGCAGCTCTAAGGATCATAGGCAGCACACACCTCGGTGATATGTCATAAAATTATTGCATGAATGATACAAATGTCATAAGCAGTTGTGTGTGCAACTGATGCAAATTTACACAATATGCATCATTGTAGCATGACACACAGTGTCATTTAAAGTAGAGGTCCCCAACCCCCGGTCCATGGACTGGCACCCGGCCATGGCATAGCAGTAACTGGACCGCGAAAACAAGTGAAGCGCCATCTGCGGGATGCAGGCAGCACATGAAACCATGCCCCCTCTGGTCCACAGAAAAATCTTTCTCCACACAACTGGTCCCTGGTGCCCAAAAGCTTTGGTTTAAAGCTCCCAGTCCCACAGGTATCTATGTTGAGGAGTTCTCAAATGACACACTCTGAACAGCCATGGCAACAGCCTGCCGTATGCTGAGGACCACTTCAGAGCCAACAAAAATGGGTGGCCATAGAAGACAATACGATACAGGCACGGCAGTCCTTGACTTGTGACCACAATTAAGTCCACAATTTCTGTTGCTAAACAAGGCATTTGGTAAGTGAAGTTTGCCCCATTCTGTCACACTTCTTGCCACAGTTGTTAAGTGAATCACTGCAGTCGTTAACTTAGTAATATAGTTGTTAAGTGAATCTGGCTTCCCCATTGACTTTGCTTGTCAAAGGTTGCAAAAGGTGATCACGTGACCCTGGGACACTGCAATCGTGATAAATATGAGTCAGTTGCAAAGCGTCTGAATTTTAATCATGTGACCATGGGAATGCTGCAATGGTAGGGAGTGTTAAAAACAGCCATAAGTTACGTTTTGCAGTGCCACTGTAACTTCGATTGGTCACTAAATGAACTGTTGTAAGTCGAGGACTACTGTACTTCAGAGAGGTGTACATTTTTAAAATGCAATAGACTGCTCTAGAGGTTAGTTGGAAGAATAGAGGGTAGAGAATTGCCCCAATCACCTGATCAATCCAAACAGTTGCATATTCCATAAAATGGAAGGCTAGCCTTGTGTATTTCATACAGCTAGATTTGGTCCCTAAGTTATCTAGCCACAAGACAGGTATAGTATATAATGCATTTAAGGAAGTTTTCTTCTCTTCTGGTTTTGGATTAACAATATTTTATTTTTATTTTACTGTTCTGATTCATCTACCAAAATGGCCTCATTCTACCTAATATTAGGGCTGCCCCCAAGAAATTCATACAATAATTATTGGTCATTTAATTGTATAGCCCAAGGGTCTTCAAACTTGGCCCCAGCGTGCCTGGCTGAGGAATTCTGGGAGTTGAAGTCCACAAGTCATAAAAGGGCCAAGTTTGAAGACCCCTGGTCTAGCCCTATGATATTCATATTTTACCACAAAAGATGCTGTTTTTTTCTCTATTGACTAGATTGAACAACAAACTCATTATAATTCTTAATGTTTTGACAAATAAGACATCATCTTGATTTTAGTATTTTACCTAGAATTCATTACTTTGTAGCTAAGAGGATTCATGTGCTAATAAGGTAAACTTAGAACTGCATCTCTTAAAACACAAAGTCAATAACTGGGAAATATTTTTTTTCTTAAGATGTTTATACAATGTCTTCCATATTTCTTGCCCACCAATTCTGTTTCAGTAAAATAAATACTATTTTCCCCCCTTCGTTTTGAAAGGAACTCTCAAACTTTCTAACTAAGAGAGGCAGAGATGAGATAGACTTCAGAACTTACCAATCAACATTAATACCAGGTTTGCTGCACCAAATTTTTCAATTTCATAAATCCAATGAGGAATAGACTCAAATGTAGATCTTCTGGTTATATCATAGGCAAGAATAGCACCATGGGCACTGCGATAATAACTTTGAGTTATTGTGCGGAAGCGTTCTTGGCCTGCCGTATCCCACACTTGTATCTGAAATTGGGAGGAAATGAAATACAGGCAGAAACAGAAATGGTTTCTCAAAATACCTAAATGCTAGAAATTGTTGCTCAGCCACAACTCCTCTATCTTAGCCTTGTGTAACTATATTTACAGTAAAATCCCTAACACAGCTATTCTCAGGCAAGTGATATATATATATAACTGCATTCAAAACTTTTCCTGACTTGGATACTCCAGATCAGTGCTTTTTTTGTAAGAAAAAAGGTGCCGGAACTCACATCTTGTTAATCACAAGCCGAGCAGTGCCACAAGCTGAGCAGTGCCATCACAACCAGTGTGGACGAAGTACGCATGCATTGGACTCAACACACAAGCAGCCCGCATGCACAGTTTTAATGATTTTGCTGCTGACCTGCTACGTTTGACAGGGCAATTCAAGTCCACGTGGACCAAACATCAAATTTTCAAAAGTTACTTTTATAACTTGGAAAATCTGTCGAAAAAAGGTGCCGGAACTCTGTTCCGGTGCATTCTATGACAAAAAATGCACTGCTTCAGATGTTTGGGAATGACCAAATATTATCCCAACTGTTGCTATAGAAAAGATGCTGCCAAATTATTTTTATACTAGCCTTCTCTGGATCTGGAAAACTCACCTGGAATTCCTGCCTCATATGATTTCCCAATTTCTGAGATTTTCCCCATTCCAAGACATGATGAAGCCATGACTTATTCCCTTCCCCAGTCTTTAGAAATGCTTGGACATACACTCTACTGTTTTCTTGGCCCAGTCATTGAGGTTATAAGATTATAAATAAGGATGAGAATGGAACATTGGCTAGAATTCAAGTTTTACCTCTCCTCCACTGCCCAGTTAAACTGCCTTCTTCCCTTTCTCATTACCCAAAGCCCAGGGAGCAGCTATAGGGATATTCATACAATGGCATAAAAGTGCAGGAAAGATGAGAAGTGTGATGCTAATGGCTGGGTGGAAAAATTCTATCAATCATCAAAAGACACAGTAGAGGACTATATTGCTCACCTTCACCTTTTTGCCATCAATTTCCAGGGAACGCACTGTAAAGTCAACCCCAATAGTGTTCTGCTGCTTTGTATGGTATTGTCCTGATTTGAAGCAATGGACCACACATGTCTTCCCCACATTTGAGTCTCCAATGAGAATGATCTTGAACAAGTAGTCAAAGGCATCATCCATCTCTACATTGGTGAAAGCCATAATATTCTAGAGATTTGAGAACTTTGGCCCTAGATTAATGGGAGAGGGGAGAGAAGAATGAATGCAAATAGCAAACCAACATAAATTTTAAAACCTAATTAAATTACAAGTCACTTAAATAGTTTTGATAATTGGGTACTGCTCACAAATGATGCATTCCTTTTCTGATTTAGCAGATTCGGTGCTTTTGTAAAACAGACTTCTTAGCTACTACAGATGGTCCTTGTTTAACAACCACTTGTTCAACGACACTTCAAACTTTTGAGGATGATGAACAAGTGGTAGTTATGACTAGTCCTCAAAGTTCTGGCCACTGCAACACCCTTGTGATTACATGATTTTGATCCAAGTACCCAGGAATCAGCCCAGATTTCTCCGTCATGTGAATGCTATTTGCAACCTTCCTTGCAGCTTCCCACAAGCAAATTCAATGGGGAAGCTGGCAGAAATATGGAAGTCACAATCACATGAGGTCTTCACTTAAAAACCCACACAGTTCTCACTTAACGACGGTAACCAGACACTGCTGGAACTGCCATTGCTAAGTAGCATGGCCACGTGATATTATGCTTTATGACTGCATCACTTAGCAACAGACATTCTGGTTATAATTATCATCATTAACCAAGGACTTATCGATATTCCTAAAGTCAACAGAAAAATTTCACCACCCCAGAAATACCTATAGCAAAAATGGGGAAGATGAGGTTTGCCAGAGGGTTTCCATCATTATTCCACTGTGGTTGCTTTCCTACTGTAGCTGCAAACTTGTGTGGCAATTCAACTCTCTTATTGAAATCCATCTTCTTTAGAATGAGGCCCTACAGGCTACTGCTGTGGTATGTTGAAGAAGCTGAGTCTTTTAGCCTATTCCTGAAATCAGTGCTTGAAAAATCTAAGCTTATCAAGATTTAACCTTTTCTTTAACAGGAACCTTCAAATAAGATTGCAGTGTTTCCCATTTAACTAAATGAAATAATATAATTGGACAAATTCCCCATCCCCATCATATATTAAATACATCAGGATTTTTGTTTTGCTTTGTGCCTTCAAATCAGTGTTGAACTGGACTATTCTCTGAAATCTGTGCAGTTTGTATACATATTGGCAAGATTTTGGAAGTAGTTCACCATTGCCTCCTTCCTAGGGCTGAGAGAGAGTGACTGAGATAGAGCGACTAATTCTAACCCTAACCCAGGTCACCTAGATAGCTTTTTGCCTATGACAGAATAAGAACTCATAGTTTTCAAACCTAGTGCCTTAACATCAGATTGGTTCTCTATCACATGTATCTCATGTTAATATTAAAATCTTGTACAGGAAGGAAGGAAGGAAGGAAGGAAGGAAGGAAGGAAGGAAGAAAGAAAGAAAGAAAGAAAGAAAGAAAGAAAGAAAGAAAGAAAGAAAGAAAGAAAGAAAGAAAGAAAGAAAGACTCAGTCAAAATTCCATTGGATTTTCTGGAATTTTCCACCAGTTGATGGTTGTAAATAGATAGATAGATAGACAGACAGATCATTTTGAGGAAAAATTAAAAACCTAGTATTTATTTTTCAAATTCATCAACAGAAATAGAGCTAGAAAAGGAGAAGTAATCCTTCTCTTAACATGTAGTTGAAAAAAAACACTCCCAATCAATCAGCTTTGCTGGGGAACATTTTTAGAAGACAGACATATTAACAGAAAAATAAAATTATTAGATGAGAATATAGTACTATACTGGTGCCACCACTTAAGAGGTCTTGCTCCTTATTTTTTTTCATAGTAGAAACTGAAGCAGGACCCATTTTCAAGGTATTCAAAAAAAAAAAAAATACTCAGGAGATGATGGGATATTTTTTTTGCATGTGATCCTCCAGAGAATTCTCCTTATCATCACCCTATCCACATTCTACACCACAAACTAGTTCCAGGATAGGTCAACACCACTTCACCTCAGCAATGGGGACAGTCCTTTGAGAAAGATAACTCAAAAACACACTTACTTGGAGGGTGATAGAAAGATAATGAAAAGTTTAAAAGAGCCTAGTGCTGCTGTTATTGTTACTGTTTGTTGTTATTATTGGTTAATATAATTAAGCAGTCACAAAAGTCCCAGAGATTCTTTTACTGTCTATTTGGCTTTCTCTTCTGTAGCAGACTCAGCAGAACAACAGTTGCTCTTTTGTATTTTCTCTTTTAAAAGGAAACAGACTGTGGGCTGCATTATAGAGAATCATAAAACTTAAAGAGGAAGGTGAAAAGTAACTCTATTGACTGATCCTGGGAGACTGAACAAGATCAAAGTGACAGAGGGCATCCAAAGAGATACCGAGCAACCATTCTACCACCTCAGATGTTTAGAAAGCTGAGATGTTTTTCACTTAACTCTGTAACCAACCTCTGATTTTGCACAACTGCTTCCCTTTTTCTTTCCCTGTCTGTGCATCAAAAATCAACAAAACAGATGCTGTTGCTTAAGGTTTCCTGTAGCACTGTGGACACTCTGTTTAAAACCACTTACATACAGCCAGACCCTGGTAACCATCCAGGAATGCTATTTGGGAGTGACTAATACTGTGGTCCTACCTAAAACATATCACAAGAATCCTGTCTGCAAATTATGGGCAACTATTGTGAGGAGTATAGGCAGCTGTTCTTGATACCTCTATTTCAACATGCAATAGAAAAATGATAATCCACTTTCAGTCAGATGTTACACCAATACTGCAGAGTTAGGAGTCAACCTATTCTTCAAACACCTGAGGGCAGGACAAGAAGCCATGGATAGAAACTAATCAAGGAGCGTACCAACCTAGAAATAAGGAGAAATTTCCTGACAGTTAGAACAATTATCACTGGAACAACTTGTCTCCAGAAGCTGAGGGGTGCTCCATCATTGGAGGTTTTTAAGAAGAGACTGGACAACCATTTCTCTGAAATGATATACAGTTTCCTCCTTGGGGAGGGGTTGGATTAAAAGATCTCCAAGGTCCCTTTCAACTCTGTTATTCTGTTAGAGTTGAAAGACCTTTTCAATTGGTGGCCTCAGTGGGCAAGTTGAAGCCATCAAAAATGCTCAAAAAATGGCAGCCAAATGAGGCTTATAAAAATCACAGTAGAAAAATGGCCTGGTCAGAAAAAAACTTATTGACTAGAAAGCAAATGGATAAAGTTGCTTCCTGTCACATTCTCTGTGCTTCAGATTCTCTATCCTCTTAGTATACACTTGAGTCTACCTTGGCATACTGTGAATTAAAAAGTATTTGACCACCGTGACTCATCATTTTTATTTGGTGAATATGGGGTATTCTTGGAAAGGCATTCTGAGAAGAAAACCAACCATGCTACAGTCTGGGTGGACATCAAAGTTAGTTGTGGGTCCCAGGCTGTCTATTTCTGCCTGAGGTGATTGTGGTTAGATGGTTGGATATGAGAAGAAGTTTATTAAAAGTATATTGGGAAACCACAAGTGGTTAAAATGGGGAAATCAGAGACAGAAAGTTTCACAAAAATGACTACCTTTCCTCTAGCCATTTGAGCTCGGAATGTAAGGGTAGATTGTCACTTACCTAGGCTTTTGATGGTGATGCAGCAAGCAATTTAACTATTCAATTATCAGATACAATTTTGCACTCAGTTCCAACTGTTTGATCTTGAGCTTCTAGAACTTTCTAAAAAGATATTCTTCCCATGGCGAAATAAATAAATAGAACATTAGGCCCAATAAAAAGCAAATTATGCTGGCCTCTGAATAATATTTACTGCATAGATGCAATACCTATCTAAATAGATAATTTATTCACCCTGAAAGTTTTGGAGAATAGAGACTGTTTTCTTGCTATTCCATACTTCAGTAAAATCTTTGCACGTGCAAAACACAGCTGGTCAAAAGGGCACAAACGTAAATCACCATTAAGGGTAGAAAAAGAGAATAGGTTTTCACTTTTTTCCTTTCTTCCGGCATCTTTCCTTTGTAGATTAGTCACATGCTGATATATATACTTACTGACTTCAGTCTCTAGCCAGCCAAAAATAAACACAGCAGACTGTTTCCCATTATCAACAGATCTTAACCATGAAACTATCCTTGCTTCCTTTTTCTACCTTTCCCGTTTTCAGCAACCTGTTTTCACAAAAAATTTCCCCCGCAAAACCCAACAAATATTAACAACAAAGTAAAACTTTAAATACCCAACATAAGTTATATTCCAAAGCACCAGAATCCTTGCTTCTTTAAGCGCCAAGTCACCTCTTATTCACCCTTTTGTCTCACCTGCATGAACAGGTACAGCTTTCTTTATATTCTCCTCCCACCTTTTCTAGTTTTCTTACCGCCTGATGGGAAATGTAGTTCCACAAATTCAGTGTCTTTCCGTCTCCTGCTGGTGAAATGAACCTGATCCGTTCAAACTTTGTATTTTTTTTTTAAAAAGAAACACCACATATAAAAGATATGTTACCAGATTAGAAGTTTAACAGGGGGAAAAAAAATCACTTCCTCATTTAAACTTTGCTATTTCTGCAAAGGAAATGTTGCATTATTGCATGTTTATTATGTTTATATCCTCAGGTGACACAAGGCAGAAAATACAACAAGCTATTGTGTCCTTACATATGAGTAAGTCCTGTTGAATTGCATGGGGTTTCTTATAAGTAAATATACAAAGAACCAGTGTTTTTTTTTGAAAAAAAAAAAAGGTGCCGGAACTCACATATGTCATACAACCCACCTTGCCTACCCTACAAGGTTCCATCCAAAAAAGATGCCGGAACTCTGTTCTGGGCGTTCTATGACAAAAAACGCCCTGCAAAGAACCGTATTACATAATAATACAGTACAGCACATGCTTTCGAAAGAGAATAAGCATAGAGGCGACTAATTTAACTGTGGTAGTTTTATACCTGCCTTGTTTTTTTAAAAAAGAAGCTTAACATTCTATGTGAGAATTTTGAATATATTTTTGAAAATCTAAGTGGAAAAGGAGAAGCAAACTTCAAGTCCAATATCCTAAAAGCAAAATCTCTATGTCAACCTTTTTTAATAAAATAATCCAGTTCAACTGTTTCTAAATTTATTACATTATAATAAAAAAATCAGCAGGAATATATAACTCTTCCAGCTAATAAACTTTATTAAAAAGCATAAGCATGCACAACTGATGAAGTGAGCTGCAATTCATGAAAGCTTATGCCTTTAATAAAATATATGAATTGTAAAAGATGCTACCAGACTCTGGATAGTTTTTTTTCTTTTGTTTTTGCTACTATCAAGTAACAAGGCAGGTATAAGCAGATCTGCCTTTGGGATCACATAATATGTGATATCAATATATGTGGATAGGTGTTGGTTGCAAGATAAGGCTAGTGTACAGTATTTGCATAAAGATTCACATAGTTGCAAATGAAACATAAAGTTACAAATGTAAAACTTGAAATATTGAATTTCTGCAAATCACTCTATATTTTTTTGCAAAAAATAAAGTTT